TACAAAAATAATTACTATATTGAATAGAAATTATTGTTCTTTATTTTTTTAATTTTATTTGTGTTTTGTATAGATACTTTTTACAATATGTATTCCTACAARTAGGAAAATTAAAAAAACATTAATAACTATTAAATATAATATTTTAGCCAGAATCTGAGAATCAGAMACAATCGTTAAAAAACACTGGTAGACAATTTCAACCAAAATGGATTGATAATTATTCTTGGATAACTTATAACTCTGCATTGGACAAAGTATTTTGTTTTGAGTGTAAAAGCGCAGTGGATAACAATTCTACCTTGCCATTAAATACACTTTTTGAAAAACGTTCAAAAGAAGCATTCGCTGTTAATGGTTTTAATAATTGGAAAAAAAGTTTGGAAAGATTTAAAATACATGAGGGTAATTACTATAAAACATAAGGATATTACCTACCTATAGATATATTATATATGTATATGTGTTGTGTGTTTTATAGGTATTCAATAATTGTTATTTGTGCATAATGTTGAAAATTAATAAGTAATTATTTTATGTTTTGTTACAAGTAATATATCTGTTACTAATATTATAGAATACATCCTTAAATAATTATAATACTGTTATAGTAAATATTTTTACTGTATTTCATAAATGTTTTTGAATATGGTTTTTCAGTGTTAAAAAAGTAATATAACAATTTGTTTTCGTTGTATCCTAACTTTGCATGCTGATTTCTGTTAAGTGTTATTAGTTAGAAATTAAAAATTAAATTAAAATAAATTTTCATATGTTTTTAACATTGATTTTTTTAATTTTAACCATCGAATTTTTACTTTAATAAATATTTAATGAATGAATTTCATGTTTATTATTAATAAATAGGGATGGTGGGGCTACAACTAACCAGTACCGAAATAAGTATATATTATTAAAATAAATTAAATTTTTATTAAATACTTTGGGCTTATTTTATTTTATTTTTGAAGTAATAGACATAGACTTGTTTTTATTTTGTAGCTGGTTTGTTCCATCGTGCTGCAGTTTCATCTAACTTGATGCAAAACAAAGGTGTTAATGTATATAATTCCTTGAGTGTAGCTAAAGTTAAAGAAATGAAAGAATCTAAAGCTGCTTTGATTAAAATATTAAGCTCATTACTATACCTAACAAGACAGGGATTGGCGATTCGGGGGCATACTGATGAGAATTCAAATATTCAACAACTATTATTGCTTCGATCAGGTGATAGTACTGAATTAAATAACTGGCTATCTCGAACAAATTATAAATGGCTTTCACATGATATTCAGAATGAAATAATTTCATTGTTATCTCGATATTTACAAAATAACTTGATTAAGAAAATCAAAGAATCTGAATTTTTTTCAATAGTTATCGATGAAACTACTGACAACTCAGGTAAAGAACAAGTTTCAATATGTTTTCGAACTGTAGATAATAACCTGAATGTTGATGAAATATTTATGGGATTTTTTGAAACTGCAATAACTGATGCCRAAACGTTGTTCGAATTGGTAACTGATGTATTATCAAAATTAACTTTAAATATTTCTAATTGCCGTGGACAATGTTATGATGGTGCCGCAAATGTTAGTGGTCATAAAAGTGGTCTTCAGAAGAGGATAAATGATCTTGAACCTCGAGCTTTGTATGTACATTGTACTGCACATACATTAAATTTGGTTGTACAAGATGCTATGATGAATGTTGAGAGATCAAGAGATTTTTTATTCTTGGTTAGATCAATTATAGTATTTGTTCGAAACTCACCTAAAAGGCAAGCCATATTTAATTCACTTCAAGTTGAACATGAATTAACTTCTAGATCTTTACGTCCATTTTGTCCTACCCGTTGGTGTTTGCGCATAGTTTCATTAAAAACTGTATTAACTAATTATACAGTTTTGATTAAATTTTTAAGTGACATATCAAAAGAAAAAAATGAAAATGGTGCTAAAGCAAGTGGATATTTTAAACAAATAATGAAATTCGATTTTTTATTTTTGTTAAATATTATGATTAGTATTTTTGATAAAATAGAAATTCTTAACGCAGAATTACAAAAAGTTTCATTGTGCTTTCAAGAAGCTCAACACAAAATTAATACTGTTATAGAATCTATACAAGAACAGCGGAATTCTGGCTTTGATTATATCTGGAATGAATCAATTTCTAAATCAAAAGAGCTGAGTTTGAAAGAACACAACACACCAAGAGTAAAAAAAGCCCCAAAACGTTACACAGAAGGAGTTGAATCATACACTTTTCCAACTATTAAAGATCAATATAGGACTTTAATTTATGAAATTGTTGATATTACTTTATTTYCATTAAATGAGCGATTTCAGAAAAATATTATTGAACATCTTTCATCATTAGAAAAGTATATAGTTGGTAAAAATATAGATACTGATATTATTGATTTTTATGGAACARATTTTGACAAAAATAAATTAAAACTACATAGAGATATGTTCTTAGATATAGCTCAGTCTAGAAAAATTCCTATTGATAATTCTCAAGATGTAATTACACTTTWAAAAAATGATAAATCACTTCGTGACCTATTACCAGAATTCAATAAACTAGTAAGAATTTTACTAATTATCCCAGTATCTTCTTGTACTGCTGAAAGGTCATTTTCCGCACTTCGAAGACTAAAAACATTTTTACGATCGACCATGGGACAATCACGTTTACATGACATTTCTATGATCCATATTCATAAAGACGAAGACATCGATCTATCAATTGTTGCTAACCAATTTATTAATAAAACAAAAGTTAGACAGAATACAT